TTTGTGATCATTATTCTTGAGAAGTCAGTATACTTTGTGTTCATTATTCTTGAGAAGTCAGTATATTTAGTGTTCATTATTCTTGAGAAGTCAGTATACTTTGTGTTCGTTATTCTTGAGGAATCGGTATACTTTGTGCTCATTATTCTTGAGAAATCAGTGTACTTAGTGTTCATTATTCTTGAGATGTCCGTGTATTGATTTAACGTAATTGATTATCGTTTGATAAGTACGTGGTGATCAGCAATCGTGTTGACTAATCAGTGTTTGTCAAGCGGTCTCAGTGACTGCCGAGCGATAACGTAACTCTTCGTGAATCAAATTGAGCTGTCAAGTTGTGACAGATCCTTCAGCGGTTACTCAGGGATTGCTAATTACCCGTAAGCTGTTGTTGACTTCATTGTTTTTTATTTGTTTGACTGTCTGTGTTGACAGAGTGGGTTAACGTAGTTTACCTTTTAATTCGAATGTCTTGGTGACGTAGTAACATAATTGGATTTACTAAAGTAACGTAAACATCTCTAATTGTTTTGATTGAAATTGATTGGATCAATTGTCATCTGTTTGTCATCATGTAACGTAATTAACCGAGTGTTGCACGGAAGACTGGTCTCTGTGACAGGTCTGTCCATTGTCCTTTCACTGCACTTTATTGTTGCTTGCTGCAGTCGTGACGAACTGCAATTGCATCTGGAGTGGTTGCCCACTTTGTTAAGATTAGTTAGGGTCAGGAGTACCACAAGCAGTCCTCGCCAGAAGCCTAGCCTTGCCGAGCACCACGACGGACATAAACGTAACGTCAGAGTATTCTTCCCATGTATCGATAGTAGTTAGTTAGTTAGCTTTGTGAATAAACTGTTATTATTGAACTACAAGTGCCTTTATGTTCACACCTTCTAAAACCCTTGTACCCAGTTCTGACTTTTGCCATTGCCAATTTGAAGTGATCGATTTGTATGTTGCCTGGATTACTTGGACTCGAACAAATTTCAAGGCCATACACATCAAATATACATTTATTTGATGTGAGAACCGAAGAGCTACTCTGATGACCTCCATCTGTGGTCCCAGAAGCTCCACGACCTAGTGGATAAGGAGTGCCAAGATTATGGACTCCTGCAGTTACTCTATGCATCCCTATGCAGCCATTAAAGTATAATCTGCCCTCAGCATTGGTTTGATGCTAGTTCAGTCCTTCCTGACTGAGGTCACTTGTATTATAATTGAGATCACCTCTGGTGCCAACGTGGTGCTGTTCAATTGTCATTTTGAGCACTACGAAGTGCCCGTCTGGCCAATAGATACTTGTAACCTGTTCACATCTAAAAGGGATAATCTCACACCATCCACCATCCATCCATCCAGTCCCCTCACCATCCATCCAGTCCCCATCCACCTTCCAGTCCCCCCACCATCCATTCAGTCCCCTCACCATCCCTCCATCCAGTTCCCATCCACCATCCATCCACCCCACCATCCATCCAGTCCCCTCACCATCCATCCATCCAGTCCCCATCCACCATCTATCCATCCAGTCCCCTCACCATCCATCCATCCAGTCCCCATCCATCATCTATCCATCCAGTCCCCTCATCATCCATCCAGTCACCATACATCCATCCACCCCCATATCCATCCATCCAGTTCTCCCCCCCCCCATCCATCTATCCAGTTCCTGCACCATCCATCCATCCAGTCCCCCTCATGATCCATCCAGTCCCCTCACCATCCTGGGACTCCATGGTGTAATATATACTAAGAACTTTATTGTTTACAAACAAAAAAGCAGAAAAATAATGACATTCTTTACAAAGAATTCAAGATCGGTCATCACTATGTGGGACAGACTTGTAAACAAACTGAGATCACCTCGCCCTGCGCCCCCAGCACCAGGCGCTTGTTTGACCCATACATGTACGAATAGACGTCGTCTCCCAAGTAAACCATCATGTACCAATTAAAATTTTACGACGAATTTTTTGCAGTAAAAAAAAAAAGTCCATTTCACACATGTCCTCACCAGTATCAGGAAAAAGGTCTATAATCCCAACATCTTTTTTGTCAAAGGCAGGAATTAGTGGAACAAAATTGTCACCATCACTCCACGCGAGTACACCTGGTGTCCTGCGAGACGAAACACTGGCACCATGGCGAGGAATTGTTGCACACTGTGGACCAGGAGCTGAAGCCCGTCTACGCAAAATATGGGCGCCAACTGAAGATGAGGTAAAATCACGTAAACATGAGGGTCTTTGTTTCCATTGTCTCCATGTGGTGCCATGCGGTGGCGCATGGCTGGGTGAGATACTGCTGATGCGACAAAATCTTACTTGGTAACACCATTGGCACTAGGTACAGGCGTGGTAATACTATGCTCTGAGTCAACTTCACTAAAACCAGAAAAAGAGTCACCTTCCCTTGACTCGTCACCCAAAATATTCTCATACTCTAAGTACAAGAACTGAGTGGTCATGAGCGAATTGGTGTAGACACTGGGCGATGAGGCACTGCTGAATATCTAGGCCTCGTCATGGGAGCAGGCTGTATCTCTGTCTCACTCTCCGTGCTATTATCATCAAACTCCCGTGCATAGTCTATATCAATGTCAGAGTCGTCAATATCACTTTCTTCGTCATCAGAAAATAATTCACTATTTATTTGATTTTGAGTCGATGATTGCATGGTGCGTGCCCAGGTGTTTGGTCGTGTGCTCGCCATGGTGACTGTTGGGTAACTGAGGCCTCTCACTCCGCAGTGGTCTAGTTGGATATTTTTTTCAAAATGGAGGCTTTTTACTAAAGCCCCTGGGCAGCGTATGGAGGTCCCTTCAACCCCGTGGCCCATTTAAATCTTGCTTGGTACTCCAAAGCGTCATATGAAGTGATGCGCACTTTCGCATCAGTTACTCAACACATTATATGAAGTGTTGTGCAGTTTAAGGGTTATTAATGTATAGTAATACACGAAAATTAACATAAATTGGCATTAATATTGTACAGCCAAGATTAAAAATTTTAATACAGTATGGGTGGGAGTGTTTGGCAACCATTGCTTGATCAGCAATCCTTCACACCCCTCCCTCCCTCACCGCCTCCCTCTTTCACCTTCACCACCACCACCACTCCCTCACTACCTCCCCTCCCTCCCTGATTCTCTCTCTCAATGCCTCCCTCCATCAATTACTAACTCCCCACCCTCCCTCCCGCAATGCCTTCCCTCCCTCTGCTTATCAATCTTTGTATTGTCAAGTTAAACTTGAGAGGATTTTGAGTCTACATTCTGGACTAGATTTAGCATTCTCTAGTGTCTCCCTAGAACCAGTAACCTATGACTAGGAAGAGAGTACTGTAACCCCGCGATTATCCGGGATTCAAACATCCGGAAAACGCCCTTATACGGCCAAAATCGTGATCGGATAAAGTTATCACAATATCCGGCCAAAATGGCCACAGGAACCGGATAAAAGCTGGTTTGGCCAGATGAAAATACGGCCATACCGTATTAATCCCGTCTGTGGCTCTAGACGCATGGTGGAGGGGGGTGGGGTGGGTGGGTGGTGTTGGGAGGGTGGGAGGGGTGCGTCAGGAGGGACCACCTGGGTACAGGAATTACCAATAATTTTAGAACAATTAATCATAGCCAAAAACAAATGAAATAACTACTAGTAATTATGTAATAACAAATAAATAAGTTTCCTAAAAGCATTGTGCACAGGCTGAAGTTTCCTTCAAAAATATTGTGAATTTTTTTCCTCCTGGCGGCCTACGTAACGCGCTATCCCAAGTGGACCCGTCCAACACTGGTCAACCCATGTGCGTCCGTCCCTCGTGTTATACACAGTGCTGCGCCATTAGTGAAATATTTTTTTAAATAACTTTTTTATTTTCATAGTAACTTTGAACATTTTTGGCCAAGACTATGTCTGGTAGCAGCATCAATCGTTCTGTAGGTGTTAAGAGGAAGAAAGTTGTCCTAACAATAAAAGACAAGTAACAGTTATACACCTCAACCAGTGCGGCCTCACAGTGTTGCGCCATTAGTGAAATATTTTTTTAAATAACTTTCTTAATTTTCATAGTAATTTTGAACATTTTTGGCCAAGAATATGTCTGGTAGCAGCATCAATCGTTCTGGAGGTGTTAAGAGGAAGAAGATTGTCCTAGCAATTAAAGACAAGTTACGTGTTGTTCAACCAGTGAGGCGTCACAGGCAGCCAAGCGCCTTCAACAAGTGAGGCGCCACAGGCAAGCCAAGCTCCTTCAACAAGTGAGGCATTACAGGCAAGCCAAGCGCTTTCATCAAGTGACGCGCCACAGGCAAGCCAAGCGCTTTCAACAAGTGAGGTGCAAGCAAGCGCCTTTAACAAGTGAGGCGTCACAGGCAAGCCAAGCGCCTTCAACAAGTGAGGGCATGCAAGCGCTTCAACAAGTGAGGTGCAAGCAAGCGCTTCAACAAGTGAGGTGCAAGCAAGCGCCTTCAACAAGTGAGGCCTCACAGGCAACCCAAATGCCCTCAACCAGTGAGGCTTCAGCAGCTGGCAGTCAAAACTAACTTAGCTTAATGAACTGTACAGTAATTTTAAGTGTTAATTTTAGTGTTGTGTTAGTATAGGTTACGTAAATTGTTAAGAATTTTTAACTTCAAGATGTGTGGCATCAATCAAGAAGACGAACACCAACAAGGTAAGTTGAGGTTTCTAGTTGAATATTTAATAATTGTATGTGGCAAGGCAATTCAAATTATGTTGTTTGTAGTATAAAAATAGTTGGAAATGGTCACTTTTGGACTCGTAGGTGAAAAAGTACCATTATCCGAAAAATGTGATAATCCGGCTGGGGGTCCTTCCCATATAGTCCGGATGATCGAGTGGAGACAGTATATGAAAATTTCCCTGGTGCTCAGGGTACAAAATCTCAGGAAGATACAGTACAAACTAAAGGTCAGTAGGATCTTGCCATAGAACAGTGGGATAAGAGTAACAAAACATAAATTTGACGCACCAATAATCCTACTGGTAAGAATCTCTTTATCAGTTGGTGCAAGCTCCCTGCGGAAGTAATTTGAAGGTATCCGGCCTGCAGCAGCATATTTTTGACGATAATCCACAGTAAGAGGCATAAACCCTGGAGAGGGACCAGACCGAGGTTTGCTCACAGCAGTGATAAGAACGGAAGTGTCTCCTAGAGTAGCAACTGCAGCACCATCTGCTAAACGAGCATAGCCTCCAGTTTCAATGTGTAACGTCCGCCTGTAAAAATTATAAATACTGTACAGTAATTAAAGTAAAATTTGGGTAGTAAAACAATTATGAAAAATTATGATCACCAAACCACACATCAGAAAATGGAAAAAAACCAGCGATGAATGTAATGAAACGTCATTTTCTGGGCGAGCCCCGGAGGCTCCCCGGAGCTATCCCAGGCTGATATGCTAATGTCAGACTTTGGCATCAGTCATGTGTATGGAGTTCTTAGGCCTACCGGGGACCACGGCCAGAACCGGGCCCCCTTAGAGAGGCAAGGGGAGCAATGGCTTATAGAAGCCCCCGTGTGGTTGGAAGCATTCTATGTCTGCCATCGACCGGAACAGGCACCCAGAAAGGTACGCACCTCAAAACAAACCCCTATTCTGGTTAAAATTGCTACCAAAAAGCCAAACTAGTGGATAGAACTCCCCAACAGAAAACAAGCAAACTAGTGTGATGCCACACGCCGCTGCGCTGCTGTCTGCGCAGCTCCCCCCTCCGTGGGAGGGGGAAGGGGGAACCCCAGAACCCTCCACGCCGTCTACCCACACCTCAGTTCTTGAGGCTGGATGTCAAAAACGTGAAAAAAGCGCCGACCGGAGGGAGGGAGGGATGCCGGGGAGCCTCCGGGACTCACCCAGAAAATGGCAATTCATTACATTCAACGCTGGTTTTCTGGGGGGAGCCCCGTCGGCTCCCCGGAGCTAACTACCCACAGACGGAAAACGAGGGACTTACCCAGGAGGCGGTCGTCACTCACTCCTCAACTCGAAGCCGAGACAACTGGCTGCAACCGCCGACCCAAAGCAACACAGGCCCGACAGGGCCCAGGGACATTCACAAGGTAACGAGCAGCCAGGCCCCTGTTCGACCGCCAAAATCCCCGCGCCCGAATATCAGACCAAGACATATTCCCAAAGACAGCAGCAAGAGCCGCAAACTTACGAACGTCACGGGCACGGGGATAGACCGCAGGCTGGCTGAACTTAATAACCCTGCAAACGACCTGGGAGACCCGAACCCGCGAACATGAAAGAAGAGAAACTTATCAACCCACAGCACGTCCCCAGACACAGAAGCCGTGGCGCGCAAATAACGGCGAAGCGCCGCAACCGGACACAAAACATGATGCACCCCCCGGCCTGACCAACCAAGCATCAACCACCCATGGACCCCTCCGGAACGCAGCAGTCTCATTCTTCGCCAGAAAAGGAGGAGACGGCTGCAAGCACACAAAACATTCACCACGACCAAAAGAGCAGAAACCTCTGCGCCGGAGGAGAGCATGAAGCTCCCCTACCCGACCCCCAGAGGCCAAAGCCAACAAGAAAAGCGCCTTGGAAAAACAATCCTGGACCGAAGGGGCCACAGCGAAACGAGGAGAAGAAAGGAAAGCGAGCACTCTGTCCAAAGATCAGGACGGCTCAGGTGACGCATGAGCAGGCCGGAGGTGAAACAATGCACGAGACAGCTTGCGAAACGGTGCAGACGTAACATCGATACCGAAGGCAAGCTGAAGCGGCTCCGCCAACGCCGCACGATACGAGGCGACAGTGTTAGGCATAAGATGACGGTCCTGAAACAACCACAAGAGAAAGGACAAGACCACCCGAACAGACAAGGAACTAACACGACGAAGACGCAAAAAGAAACAGAAGGACCGCCAGGAAACTTCATACTGCCGCCGAGAAGAAGCCCTCAGGTGGGACACCAACAAGGAGGCCACCTGATCACCATAGAGATGATGATAGACTCGAGTCAAAAAACGCATACGCGAAGACTCGAGGAGAAGATCGAACCAGCCACGTGACGTACCGGCCCGATCTGCTGAAAGAGGCGGAGCCGCAGGAAAACCCTTGGGTTCGGACACCGGGCAACCAGCGCCTGAAACCAGGACTGGGCCGGCCAACAAGGGGCCAGAAGGACAACTCTCCCCTGGTAAGTCTCTAAGCGAGTCAGGACCTGGAGCAACAGCCGAACTGGGGGAAAGAGGTACAGAAACCCCCACCGCGACCAGTCTAGCCGAAAGGCATCGACCCCGATGGCCTCGCGATCGGAGAAGGGCGCTGCATAAACGGGAAGACGCCGCGACCACGCCGACGCGAAGATGTCCACTTCGGGGCGCCCGAACGTCTGGCAAAGCCAACGGAAGGACCCGTCGTCGACCGTCCACTCCGTGGAGAGGGGAACGAAGCGAGACAGGGCGTCGGCCAAGAAGTTGGACACGCCCCGTACGTGAACCGCCAGGAGAGCCAAACCCCGAGAACTCAGCAGACGAGTCACCCGAAGCGACCAACCCCAAAGAGACAAGGACCGCATCGAACCCCCGCGGTTCAGGCAATGAACCACCGGAGAGCAGTCCGAATGGAGCCGAATCGTCGATCCGCGGGCCACCCGAATCCTCCCCAGAGCAAACCACACCGCTGCGAACTCCCGCACCGTGCTGTGAGCTCGACGGAAGGACGGATCCCAACGTCCCTGGCCGGCCTGGTGAGCACTGGTCACAAAACCCCAGCCGAAAGACGACGCATCCGTGTACACATCGAGCGAGGGCTCGGGTAGGCGCCAAGGCACTGAACCCCGAAAAACCCGAAGAGGAAGCCGGTGACGCAGCAACCGACGCAAGGCCCCTGGGGGTCGAACTCTGTGATCGCGAGGCGGAAGGGGGGACCCCGAAGGAACCAGAACAGCCGATGAAGCCAAACGCGACCCGGCGGTTAGACCACCATCGCGAAGTTCAGGCTCCCGCACAGCCCCTCGAGCAACCGCTGGATGACCCGAGGGCCTTCCAGAAACAGACGAAGGCGGGACCGCAGCCGCAGGAGAGACTCCGGAGGTAGAGACAAGGAGGCAGTTCGAGAGTTCCAAACAAGACCCAGCCAAGTCCGAACCTGAGAGGGAACCAGATGGGACTTCCTCCAGTTCACCAAGAACCCGAACCCGTTGAGCTGGGAAAGAACCAAATCCCTGGCTAGCAAGCAAGCTGACCGGCTGGGAGCCCAAACCAGCCAGTCGTCGAGGTAGGCCAACACCCGAACACCTAGGAGATGCAAACGAGTCACCACAACCCGTGTATGGGGCGTGAACACGCGAGGTGCCAGGTTCAACCCGAACGGGAGACGACGAAAGTGGTAACTCAGACGCCCCACAACAAAACCGAGCCAGTCCCTGAACCGTGGATGAATCGGGACATGCCAATAAGCGTCCCGGAGGTCCAGGGACACCATCCAAGCGCCCGGCTCCAAGAGGAGCCGAACCTGAGACAGCGTAGTCATCCGAAAGGAGGGGCAATGAACCCAGGGGTTCAGACGGAACACGTCCAGAATGAACCGCAGGTCCGCGCAGTCCCGTTTCGGAACCGGAAACAGACGGGAAACCCATCTGAGGGACGACGTTGTTTCGACAACGCCCAAGCGTACCCACTCCAAGATGACTCGACAGAGCGCAGGGGAAGAAACCTGCCCTGCCAGCCCCGACCCCCCCAAGGGGGGAGGGGCCACCCAACGCCTCCGCAGGCCGCGAGACATGACCCGAAAGGCCCACGAATCGTGGGACCAGGCGCGGGCGAACAGTGCAAGCCGCCCTCCCCCCCCATCGCCCCGTCAATGGGGCAAACCGCGAAAGGGCCGGCGACCCTTACGAGACCCAGAACCCCGCACAGAGCAAACACCACGCCGACCAGACGAGGGAGGGTTCGCAGGAGGAGCCAAACCCGAACCTTACACCAGAGGCCTACCACAACGAGAGGAACCCCGAGCCCTGGCACGACCCTTCCGGGAAGACCCACCCCGGGACCCCCGGAAAACCAACAAGTCCGACATCGGACGACAAGCCGCCGACGCAGCCTGAATAAACTGCGCCACTGCCGACTCCTCAAACAGAAGACGACAAAAAGGTGAAGAACGCCGGAGCCAGAGCCCAAGCAGATTCCACGGAGGAACCCAGCACCGTCTGCCGACACGCGAGACGGGAAGCATAAAACAGGGAAACCGCATCCCGCAAAATCGGCATGAACAGCTTCAACAAGGCAGCCGACGAACGCGCAGCCGAGGACAAGGTGCCGGACCCCGGGACGGACCCAAGCGTCCTCACATCCTACACGAGCCAATCCGAGGACAGCTCCAGAAGGGAAAAGAACCGCAAGGCCGAAGCCATAAGGCCCCGGGCACGCAAGTCCTCCGCAACGAATGCCGCCGAAAGGGTGGGAACCTGCACATGGAGCTGAATAACGCCCACATAACGCGGGGAAAGGCAGGGGCAAACAAGCACTCATTCAGGTACTCAAGCTCGCCCCCAGGAAAACCTGAAGCACCATGGAAGCTTCCCGCCACTCCAGCGTGCGGGAATGACAGAAAGAATGCCAGGAATCCAGAACAAGGGGCAGTCTGCTAGCCAGGAAGACTTCGGAACCTCGTAACGGAGCCAGAAAGGGAACGAAGTCCCAAACCTGAATTCGGACGGATCCATTTCCGAGGCATAATCCGGGTCACGCAGGAGGTAAGCTGCAAAGGCCGCTCGCACCACACCAGGTTGGATGCGATAAGCCGAAAACCTCCGGAAGGACGGAACCGACATACCCGGGGGAACACAGAACCGAACCCGGGGAGGGGCCGACATCAAATCCAACTCGTACGCAGAGGGGGAAAAAGAAAACCCCACTCCTTATAACAATAAGCCCCGCTCAGAGGGAAGAAAAACCCAGGCGGGGTCCAGCGGGATCCAAGGCTCCCAAGTCAGCCCCTCCCCAGCCTCGAGGTCCTTCACCACAGGACCCGAGGCCAAGTCCTCTCCCCATGCCCCGACCCCACAAGACAAGGACGGAGCAGCCGGAAAAGCTGGACGAAGGGGGGCCCACTGGTCAGACCCAGAAGCTTTGGCCGGGAGACAAGACTCGAATGCCTCTGCCGCCCCCCTGGAAGGGGCATCCCCCGAAGCTACCCAAGTCTCAAGATCAAGTAACCCCTGCTCCGACCCCGAAACCCTCAGACACTTCGGGGCCGGAA